TTAAAACACTGAGATTCCACCTTATTCCAGAAAGAATGGTTATCATCAAGAAATTAGCCACTAAGTGCTGACAAGGCTGTCAGGTAAAAAGAACATTTCTCCACTGTTGGTGGGAGTGTAGATTGATACAACCACTGAGGAAATGAGTGTGGAAATTCCTGAGAAAACTAGGACTAGGGCTGGCAAGGTAGCTCAGTGGACTAAGTGCCTGGTTAGGCAAGTGTAGGGACTGGGGTTCCATCCCCTGCACATGTCACCTGGCCCCGCTCCCAGGTGTGCTGAGCCAGCCACTGAGATGGGGCTGGGTAATCCAATACAGTACTGGGGTGGTAATCCCAGTACCTGGGGAGGCTGAAAACAGGAAGATCACTATGAGCCCAAGCTGCACTTAATGAGACCCTGTACCAAATACATAAGAAATAAAAAACCTAGGACTAGTGGTTCCGTTCAATTCCACTATTCTTTTTGTTATCTTCTTGAAAGAATTAAAAGCATCATACCACAGTGATATATCCATCTAGAATGTTTACAGTGGCTCTGTTTGTAATAGCCAGATCTTAGAAACAGGCCAAATGCCCATCAACTGGTGAATGGATAAAGATGTGGGCATAAAGATGTTTTATGCAGTGGAGTACTACTCTGCCATAAATGATCAGCTCACAACAGTTCCAAGTAAACTGATACACGTTGAGACCATACTCTTAAATAAATCAAACACACATGTGAAAATACCACATTGTTTCTCTGGTGTGAGAAATTGAAAGTGTAAATAAGAACCAAAATGTGTAAGCAGTACTGTGAACTAAGAAGATGTAAATAAGAAGAAAGTGCTCAAATGAGACGGAACTAGGGATGGGGGAGGGGAAAAGTAGAAAAATGAGAAAAGAAGTAAAAAAAATGGAAACAAAGCTTTTATAAATGAAGGGAAGAGGGATTGAAGGGAGAGCAGGGAGATGGAAGAAAATAATCAAGTTACATCGTGTACAGGTACAAATTCCCTGTGATCAATGTGATCATCACGTTTACCTTAAATGTACCAATTTAAAATCATTTGCTTTGAGAAAGATGCAAACTCCAGTGCCCCGGGCAGTCCCACCCTTTGCGTTTGCCCGACAGTTCTAATGCCTTCTCTCTTGGCTTGGCTCACTGCCTTTGATTTTGCTCAGATGTTCTCAGTTGCCTCCCTCTCTGATTTCTTAGGGTCTCCACTGCAATTTTGGTTTCACTCTCATGGGGCCAGGGAGATGGCTCAGTAAAGTAAGTGCTTGCCTGGCAAGCGCAAAGGCCTGAGTTCAATCTCCGGTTCCACCAAACAAACAAACAACAAAAAACAGTGTGGTTTCACTCTCATAGCTTCGTGCACTGCCCTCTCAGAGACACACCTCCTCGCCTTCCAGGCCTTCTTCTAAAATCTAAGTGGAGGCCTCAGTCACACCACATCTCTTGCATACGGCATGCCCATCAGGTCAGCGCGATGTGGGCAATGCCAAGGCCTGCTACCAGCTCCACTAGTAGCCAGGCCTTTTTAAGTTAGAGCTCTAGAGGCCTCAGTGTGCCCTGATGGCTAAGTACTGTAACTTGAACCCCAGGGAACCCATTTGCTAGGGAGCCGTCCTGCAACACCGTGCCCCAACGTTCTCTCCTCAGACGAAAGCTTTGAAACACTGTACTCCTGAGCCTGTGGTGGGTGGAAGCTTTTGGATTCCTCACGTGCCCTCAAGTCATTTTTCCCCTTGTCCTGATACCCTTTACCTTTTTCAAAATGCTAATCTTAGCGCCAGGGAGATAGTTCAGTGGCATAAGCACTTGCTTGGCAAGGGCAAGGTGCAAAAAATAAGAATAAAAATGCGAATCTTTTCAGCAATCAAGCTCTCTTCTCTATCTTTGCTGGTACTTTCTTTCTGCTAAAACTGAAAATTTTGGGCCAGGGAAATAACTCAGTGGTATAAGTCCCTGCCTGGCAAGTGCAGGGTCTTGAATTCAATCCCCAATACAAAAAAAA